ACGCTTCGAGATTTACCGTCGACTGTTGAATTATTTTTCGTTCTAGCAGAAGTAATGCATCTGCTGCTTGATTGTCCTGACCTATGACATGTCGTATGTCACGAGTGAATTACGACATGAATTCAAGACGTCGAACGTCGGCGTTTAGGAGGCAATCCCCATAGATTTTCACCGTAGGTTTATATCTAATAATACTGGAAACGGACATTCTGCAGAAATATGAATTTATAGTCAGCACTAATAAACGACGTTTGATGTTTAACTAAACTTCAAATTACACAAAAGGTAGAAAACGTTACATTACAAACTCCGCCAGTAACAATTGACAAATCTCAGGATATACTCTCGGAATTTCCATAACCCTAACCAAATCCAAACCTTGATATTCCAAAATTAAGCTAAAGGTAAATGATAAAATCAAAACTGAAGGTGCACCGGCGTTTGCTGGGTCCAGGAGACTGATATCAAATAGAAATAAATTCGCTAGAGTCGAATTTGACTACGTGCTACAGTTGGGTATTATCCGTCTTTTTGATAACAGGTGGGGATTCCTTCTATATATGGTTGCAAAGAAAAATGAATGAGACTAGCTACCGTGTAAGGATTAGAGATCCGTCAATCGTCAAACCCTACCAGATAAGTAGCCGATACGTGATATTCAGGATATTACAGAAGGATTACAGAGCTTGAAATTATCCACTAAAATAACTTGGTCAGGACATATCACAATATCTAATGAGTACCGGATATTCATCCAGACATCTTTTAATAAATCTTTTATCACATGTTCGAAATGTGCACATCGAATGATATAATTCATTTGCTCATTTTATAGCTCATTGAACAATTCAATACATTTTCTCAACTAAACTATTAGGATTTTAGGCTTGTTATTTTCGGGTGGATTTATACGCAAAGATTCCATGTAAACCGAATCTATCAAAATGTTATGGTTGAACAACAACGCGGTTTATTTCACAATTTTCTACTGCTTAATTTATGTGATAGCAATTTTGTGTTGCTCATTATTTTGGTAGGTTTCTTTCACTAGATCTGTTTCGACATATAGTTCAGCAGAGATCGATAGCAACTGAAAAATAAGTGATAAGCAACGAAACTTATATAAGTGTTTAGCACCAGTTGAGGATTTTTAAGAAGTGCTCATTGACGACCATACCAGAATCCGAGCAAAATATCAGTCGGTTTCAGCGACAACAAGTATGCTTCAATTAAATTATGACATAAAATAAAATTGATGATACATGTCTTACCTCTGATGAGGTTCAAATCTCAATCACAATTTTATCGAAATTCTGTGTGAGCACTTCATTCTTCAACGTACTTTGTCCAGTGTTGAAATGTTATGATTACGAATTTTAAGTATGAGAGACAAAAACAATAAAATAGCGATTAAAATATAGAAATGCTATCTAAGTATGAAATCGTCCCGATTCGTCTAAATAAATAGTAAACCTTTTCAGAACAGTTGCACATTGCTTAGAATTTAGAAACTCTTTTCTAAATTTGGAAACAAGTTGAATCCAATGGCAGGCATTTCAATTACTTCTAAAGAACATGTAATAAATTTATTTTAGACTGAAGCTATGGGAAACTATTTTAGATAAGTTTACTATATATATAGACAAATTAATCAATCTTGTAGTTGCATAATGCTACAAAATCCTGATTTTCACTATTAAATTAAAATGACGCTAATTACTTTTATTGGAATTATTCGCTAATCATGTGTTATTCCATAACGATTGTTGCGTCTTAACTACATTTATGCCAAACAATCATTTAAATAAAAGTTATAATTTGATTTCATCAATGGTAACACGCATTAAAAAACAAATACATTTTAAATAAGAACTTTCGTCTAAATTTAAACGAATAGTTTCACAATATTTGGGCGCCGAGTTCATTTGAGACATTAAAAAGAAGAATATATTTGTAAAATACATTTTAACAGCAGGGGGTTTGTAAAAATTGTAACTTTTAGCAGTCGGATTCACAAGTCTGTCTAAGATAAACCAGCACTGGAGACCTGGAAACACTAGATGGCTGTTTCTTCCTAGTGTGGGACTCCACAGCAATGCACATCCACGATCCCCCATGCGGAACTCGAACCCGGATTCTTCAGTCTCGCGCACGAATGCTTCACCCCTAGATCACAGAGCTGGCACCCAACTGTGTTAATGTCGAACTTTAATCGACCCATATTTTGAATATTAAACCAAATAACTATTGACGACGATATCTTATTTTAAATTACAAAGAAAGTAAAAATTTCCAAATTTTAAGCTATATGACTATAATGATGGTTATTTTTAAATGTCAGTGCATGGAAGAGCTTGTACAGTTCTCAAACTTCGTTATAATTAGATTTTGAGGCTGAATCCGTAATATTTATTTAATCTTTTTTAAATTATCAAGTTTGATAAAACAATATGCTAGTGAGTATTAAATATTCCTAACTATCACCAAAACCAATATTCATTTTTCAAGTGATAGAGTGCTATCTACAGAGCTACTGATTTATGGTATTTACCTCTGCTTAACGAGTATTATTTGCTATCAATAGAGCCTATCGTCAACCGAATTTCACGCCATCCACAGATTTGTTTTTATTTAAATTGTGACCACAATTTAATCTTAGCAGATCGAGTAATTAAGAACATCACGTGGACGACCGGGAAATTACTGGTACAAAAGTATGTTAATGCATGTGTGTAAACTTAGTAGTCTACACAAAGTCAGTAGTTATAGTCAATTTCATCTAACATACATCGGAAGCACGATAATATACTAAATAAAATTAAGATAAACTATACTTATGACAAGTTATTTCCGTAATTTAGTGGTTTATAATCTCTTATCACTGTAAAATGTATTTACAAGAATTCGAGTAAAGTCAGTGTAGTTTTACTACGTTGGAAATTAGACAGGTATTATCAATAAAAGTGGATGATGGTTATCCAACATCATGAGCAAACTGAATTGGAAATGTAAACTACTGAGTGACAGCTTGATAATGAATAATCATTTGAGATGTCTATCATTAAGTGAGTATTATTTATAAAACCAGTCTGCAAAAATCTGTTTATATAGGTTGAAAAGGCTTCTGTAGCAACTAATCAGAGCAGTAAACACGCAAATAAAAATGGATGGATTTTTAGATAATATAAAAGTAAATTATTCTGTTAGTTGTCAACATCACGTCTGTATATTTGTTTTAATGAACTACCTCTCACATAGTTATAGAGTTATGAAGACACATCCCATTATCAAGAAACAGATTATTGATAATCGAGTGTAAACTCTTTCGAAAGCGACAAACAAGATTCAAATATACTCCAACGACTTTTTCTTAAGGATTACTATTCATTTCAAAGATCAATACCGTGTGACTGATTGTTGATAGATGCAAAAATTATGAAGTATATCATAAGACAAATTCCGAATTCTACACGTCTCTATTTAATGTATTATAGTAAATCACTGAATAAAGATAATTCTAAAAATCCAAACTTAATACATCCTATATTGAACAAAAGATTTTTCTAATAAATGTAAAGCAAAGAACAGTGTGCAAACTTGTGTATTATTTTAATTAATTAGTATGTTTCTTTCGTTCAAGTCGATTCAAAATAGAATATGGTCAGGCTAATAAAATTAGTGGTCGATCGTAATAATGCTGTTCACTTATAAAAAACAAATTATTATTTATCAATACTAATATAATGCATTATTAATTAATGACTGACTTTATTAGGTAGTAGTAATTAGAAAAAGAAACTGGTGATTTATAACATATTTGTACCAATATATCTAAAGCGACTTATACTGCATCACTTAGCAGATGAAGAGTAGTTTTGATTAATTCGTCATTTACATTTTATGGGAAAGTGTTATTGTGTAAGTAAGTAAACACACAAAAATTATAAATGAGCCATTCAGATGCAAGCAAGCTAGTACAATTTTTCAAATCAGTAAATATTAGACATAGATAATATTTAATTCACTTGGTATTATTTAACTTGAAACTTCCCATTGATGTTTTAGGACTGAAATTGACCAGTCTCTTATTGGCATATGTGCATACTGTGCGTATGCCTCGATATTGTCTTAATTTACAAGCATTATAAGTGAAGATGGATAATATTTGTTTGAACGAAAATACTGGAACATTTAGTCTGATTGCAGTGGAATATCATAATAGAGAACAATAAGAGAGAGATTTCTCAACAATAACATTTTGGAGTTGTAAAGTAACTTTAATTGGGATTCTACACTTATGATTACATCAACAACGGTTATATTAACACCAATTGATTTATCAATTATTATACCTGATATGTTTTATAAATGTACCCATCTAACCAGCAGTTTGGTGTCTTTTATCAATTTGGAGAATTAGTCAGTTACACATTCTTAGGATTAAAATCAGTTAAAGTATTCTAATATGTATATCAAATGAAGACAGAATTATTCAGTATTACGAAAACCCCGAATGCCCTGGTACGGCCGAGAGTGGGGAGAGTCCGCTCTCCCTCTCGAAATGCTCTCACATGGCCACGCGTATATAGCCTCTTCCAGGGAAGTCCTACTCACTGCCTTCTCGTGGCGGGGGTGTTGTTTACGAAAATGAGAGGACGAAAAGCGAATGTCTGGCGCTTTAACCGGATTCCAAACCAATGGTGCACATGGGCTCCAGTATCTTGCGGGAACAAATGGCGTATGAACCAATTGTTGGTCACCGGCTACCATGGGACTGCATCTCCTTACGATGCTCCACTGCCTTGTGGATCAGACCTTCAGGTCGAAGGCTCCGGGTGTGGCCCCCCAAGAAAACCACCTGCTTCGGTCTGGGCACCCGGGCAGTATCACAGCCCTCACACATATCGAATGAGATTTGTGTGGCGCATATGTATTTGGTGCCTCTTTGTACCAATATCTATGTGTTGAAATAAAATAATAAATAAACGAAAATCCATAAGTTAACAATGGAAAAGTATATATCGTTGTTTTTAAAGCATTGGAAATATTTGTCTGTAAATAAGTTGATGTATCAAAAATAGTAGAATTTGTTAATAAATAACAATACGAAGGAAACAACTGAAATAAATAGAAACAAAATAATAAACAAGCAAACAGACAAAAATATATGATTAACCATTAAAAATGATAATTACAAGTGTAAATTGGAAGACTAGAAAAGAAATAAAGGATATTAAAGGTAAGAAAAGCATGAAAACGCTACTCAAGAATAAAGATTTAAGTTATTTACTTTGTTCTAACAGAAATAATAATAATTTGCTCATTAATATCACAGATTGTGGTCTTGTTTTTCGAAATACTACTAACCGGGTGATGTGTAATACGGTAGCAAACGTGTAGACACACATAAGCAACAAACCAGGTTTTTTTAAATAATAAAACACTTACAAATGTACACAAAAAGCACAAATCCAGTGATAAATTAGTTGAAAGTTACGATCATCATTGTTATCATGTGAATAATTAATTTGTTTTATCCTATAAATTATACTAAACAAATGGTTATCTATATCCTGTGATAAAAAAGAAACAAACAAATGAGTAAAAATTCAGATATGTGCGTTTTCTTCACAAATGTTCCCGAGGTAACCAAGATTTCATAAGATGATAATGTTTCATACGAACTTTAGCATAATCCTAAAAAAGAAACAATAAATGTAAAAACAGATTAGAATATTTCAATAATTAGAAGGATAATCGTGTATTGTATGGAAGCCCTCTCTCTCTCTCTCAAAGACGAGATTATTTTGTTCGCCGTTTTGTCATTGACTATTTGCAAAAGTGAGTTGGAAAATTTGCATAATAATAATAATAATACGTACATACTGCATTTTTCAAGTGAGAACCGTTACATTTAAAATTCCCAATACCATAATGTGATGTCGCAAATCATGTAACATATATTTTGAAGTTCCCAAAACGCTCAACAGAACATTTCAAATCTGATTATAACTCAAGGCTTCTTTTGGTTATCGTTGACGTAAAAAAAATGAATAGATCTACTTAGTCAAAATTAATTCAGATAACAATCTAATCACTAATTTATATGTCCCATTCTATATTTATTTATCTTTGATATGTACTAATACAAGGTGACCAGAAGGACAGCATGTTTATCGGATAAAAACGATTGACATTTTAAACAATAGCTAAAAAACAATACTCAGTGACTGAGGTACACTGCTAACGTTTCGGTTACGGCTTATCATTACAGTAAGTAACTAGTTGGTTCAATCGAATTTTTTTTCACTATGGTCGGAGTAATCCATATGACAAATCGTGTCTTGAAGATTTAGTGTATGGGAATAAAGAAATATAATTACAGAAATAGACATTCCTGTGTGAAAATAGTTAATATCTATGAGAGTGAGGTGAAGGATTAGTATAATACGTGAATAACGAACCAACAGAGAAAAAGAATCGTTGCTCTTGGTAAAAACGATAGATGGCTGCTGTAAAGAATCTTGGCACAAAGACAAAATTCTAAATATAGCAAAAAGAAAGTACTTTACGGAGTTCAAATACCCCAACAGTTTTGTAATTCACCTGAAGTCGAATTTGATTGACGAAATAGAGGTAACTGTTTTGAACCATATCACAACTGACAAATATTTTCTCACCACTTCCATTATTATTTTTGTTCAAATAAATATTCTTACGAGTTAGCGCTATCTCAGATATGAACATATGCATAAACAACGTACTCCTAAAAGATACTGAAAGAATTTGATCAAACTAGTAAAGAAAATTCACATCAGAACTGTTGAATAATTTTGAGTAGACAACTTACTATCTTAAGAGTTAAGTTGACAAAACCATTAAATTAGAAGGTTAACTAGCTAAAAATTAAACACAAAAAAAGACTGATACTTACAACTAGGTTGTTCAGTGAATAACCAAATGATTGATTCCCATTACATAGCACCAAAAGCATAACAATGATACTTAACATAAAGTATGCTTCATTCAATTATCAAATGTAACAATGACTAATCACCTGAAAATGTACAACATCTACCATCTCATATTCTTAATATGACTAATCTCTGCCTCTTATACACAAGACAATAAATTATCTTAAATAAATTATCTTAAAATTCAAGGAATACACTTTCACAGATTGAAATCATGAGTCAATTGAAGCTAGACCACCATGGAAAACCTGGAAGCACTGGACGGACGTTTCGTCCTAGTATGGGACTCCTCAGCAGTGCGCATCCACGATCCCGCACACCGCGGGATTCGAACCCAGGATCTAATGGTTTCGCGCGCAAGCACTTAACCACTAGACCACTGAGCCGACATCCAACGGTGTTAATGTCTAACTTCAACCAATCCACGAAGTTGCGCCACCGAACACCATTGTCCTCAGTGAGCTGATGTCTCACAACAGACCTGGTTGAACTCCATTGGTAACGGCTTCTCACTAGAACTCCAGGAGTACTACTAGGACGGAACGGCCGTCCAGTGCTTCCAAGTTCTCCATGCTGGTCTAGCTTCAATTGTCTCATGATTTCAATCCGTGGAATTTCTAAAATCTCCACAAGCCCCTTCTGAGAATACACTTTCATTATTTACATACTAAAACATACATACCATAAAGTCAAACTGAATACTTGATAATTGACTTTGAACAAGTGACCATGCAGACCAAAATAAATGTGATAATAATGAACCATAGATTGTTTCAATCCATAAATTTTCATAATCATAATCCTCTTCATGATAATTAGCAAATCGAACAACATTATTATTATTATTCTGTTCATAATTATCAACACAATTGAAATTACCATTTCTTTTATTAAAATGATCATTTTCTACATTTGAATAAGTTTCAGTTAGATATGCTTTCCAAAAAAGCCTCTATATAAATACGTTTAAAAAAACACAATTGATTTAATGAAATCATACAGAAATATATGCATATACTCTTTTTCGAAAATGTCATACTAAAGTGTTTAACTCTAGTCAATAGCTAAACGAATTCTATTTAAAAAAGTAATGATAAATCATTTGGAATTCATCAGTTAAATCATACAGTATGACTTGTGTGTTATTACTAAATACAAACTGTACTGGACTATTCAATGAGATTATGTTGGGGAAAAAAGTTGATCCATGGTTATTATGAGATTATAATTATTAATACAATAAATATTCTAGTATAGAAAGAATGCTACTGCATATACACTATATATCAATCATATTCCGATTATTCACATACTACATTAAGTAGTACCTAAACAATAAACACGGTGTTAACATTTACATGCTATCGGATTTATCACTTATTAATGCCATACATATAAATCAATAACATTAGATGTTGGGTTAGTAATCTAAAGAAATATTCCGTCACAATTTTACAAGTTGAGATACCATAGAGAAAAATATTTCCAACTGTAATAAATTCTTTAAGTTATGACTCATCCAAAGTGACATCATAAATTAAATTTAACAATAAGTGGTACACAAATAAACAAATAAATGCATCAGATTAGAAAAATCAATGGTATTTGTTTATTTATATTGAGATCATGAACCGATTAATATTAGACCACCACTGGAAACCTGAGAGCACTAGATGTTCGTGTCGTTCAAGTATGGAACTCCTCCGCAATGCGCAGGGATCGTACCCAGGACGTTCGGTCACGCGCGAACGGTTAACCATTAGACCACAGAGCCGGCATCCAAAGGTGTTAGTGTCTAACTTAAATCAATCCACTATATTGTGCGAGCATTTTCAATTTTCTTCGGTGGATAACTGCCTCAAACTAGACACGATTGGACTATACTGGTCACGACTTCTCAATAGAACTCCGAGAATTACTGCTTGAAGGTAGTCACTAGTGAACACATGATGGCGATGAGTATAGAGTTGTGGAGATTGTTGAATTTTTGTTGAGATTATGGGCCGATCAATGTTAGTTTTATTGTTAACAAAGTGAGAATATAAGTTTTAAAAAACGTCTTAATTGAAAGTTTCCGACAATAATTTTTTGAAACGATGATTTACATTATGGACTAGATTTATCTAGAAAATCGCGTAACCATTTATTGTACAGCTGGTTTGTTTTAGTATGATATTGCTTAGCCGTACGTAACGATGAACCTAACAGAGATAGAGCCCAACACTATCATACTTTACAACATTATTATTATTATTCTGTTCATAATTATCAACACAATTGAAATTACCATTTCTTTTATTAAAATGATCATTTTCTACATTTGAATAAGTTTCAGTTAGATATGCTTTCCAAAAAAGCCTCTATATAAATACGTTTAAAAAAACACAATTGATTTAATGAAATCATACAGAAATATATGCATATACTCTTTTTCGAAAATGTCATACTAAAGTGTTTAACTCTAGTCAATAGCTAAACGAATTCTATTTAAAAAAGTAATGATAAATCATTTGGAATTCATCAGTTAAATCATACAGTATGACTTGTGTGTTATTACTAAATACAAACTGTACTGGACTATTCAATGAGATTATGTTGGGGAAAAAAGTTGATCCATGGTTATTATGAGATTATAATTATTAATACAATAAATATTCTAGTATAGAAAGAATGCTACTGCATATACACTATATATCAATCATATTCCGATTATTCACATACTACATTAAGTAGTACCTAAACAATAAACACGGTGTTAACATTTACATGCTATCGGATTTATCACTTATTAATGCCATACATATAAATCAATAACATTAGATGTTGGGTTAGTAATCTAAAGAAATATTCCGTCACAATTTTACAAGTTGAGATACCATAGAGAAAAATATTTCCAACTGTAATAAATTCTTTAAGTTATGACTCATCCAAAGTGACATCATAAATTAAATTTAACAATAAGTGGTACACAAATAAACAAATAAATGCATCAGATTAGAAAAATCAATGGTATTTGTTTATTTATATTGAGATCATGAACCGATTAATATTAGACCACCACTGGAAACCTGAGAGCACTAGATGTTCGTGTCGTTCAAGTATGGAACTCCTCCGCAATGCGCAGGGATCGTACCCAGGACGTTCGGTCACGCGCGAACGGTTAACCATTAGACCACAGAGCCGGCATCCAAAGGTGTTAGTGTCTAACTTAAATCAATCCACTATATTGTGCGAGCATTTTCAATTTTCTTCGGTGGATAACTGCCTCAAACTAGACACGATTGGACTATACTGGTCACGACTTCTCAATAGAACTCCGAGAATTACTGCTTGAAGGTAGTCACTAGTGAACACATGATGGCGATGAGTATAGAGTTGTGGAGATTGTTGAATTTTTGTTGAGATTATGGGCCGATCAATGTTAGTTTTATTGTTAACAAAGTGAGAATATAAGTTTTAAAAAACGTCTTAATTGAAAGTTTCCGACAATAATTTTTTGAAACGATGATTTACATTATGGACTAGATTTATCTAGAAAATCGCGTAACCATTTATTGTACAGCTGGTTTGTTTTAGTATGATATTGCTTAGCCGTACGTAACGATGAACCTAACAGAGATAGAGCCCAACACTATCATACTTTACAAAGTACATGTTTTGTTTTAGATAGTATCCTAAAAACTGAATATATTGCGCTGTTATCACTCACTGCCATAGAGGATACCTGTCTAGCTCCCATCTCAATTTCAGTTTTCTATAAAATGAATTACTGATACCTTTAATGATTGATTACTGAGCAGTGATAAATTGTTATTGAGTAGTCTTTAGTATTGATCGAATTTTATCGAATACCAACATCTCTTAGTTGTTTATGATATAACAATCTAAACAAATGGAGTAATATTTATCAGATGCATAGGTGAACAACTCAGTCTAAATGTTCACACATATTTGTATTCATCAATAGCCTTTTTTGAACTCTTTTAAGTCTTACAACATTCAAAACCATAGAAAAAAGTTACCATGGGAAAATGATATTCTACTTCACAGATAGCTTACATTATTGTGATTTTTCTATACATATCTAACGGGACGCTTAGTTGTTTCAGAAATAAAATAAACCAATGAAGAGATAGAATGCTAATATTTGGTAGGGACTACTTTTCCTTTTTTTAAAAAGTACAATTTAGGAAACATACATTAATAATTGAACAACACTGGCAAACCAAAAATAACTAACTTGTTTTGAACGATCTGGGTAATTTTCAATATTGTGAAAATAATACGGTTGATCAGGGTTCGTGTAATCATAACACCACTCATTAAAATGATTCCCAACATCAAAAGCACTTTAAAAAAGGAAAGACACATAAAAAATGGATCATCTGAGAGCAAAATATCACGGAATAATAATAAACAAGGTTAAGAATCATTTAGATGAAGAATTTAATGTTCAATAGAATTCCCTCAATTTAGATTTCAAAGATTATTAAAAATGTTGCTTCAAAAGTATGTTTAATGTAAATGATGTAGTATTTGGTTACATATGAACTAACCAAAACATTCTTACGGATCACAATGTCTGAGGTTTATTTTCTTAAGATTGGTATATAATTTTTAAGTGTTGGACATAAAAGTTATGAAGACATGTGAGTTTCTTTAGCAAAGTATAGGTCATAAGCGTTACATACAGAAATTTAATAAGCTAATCGATTCAATTATCAGGATATGAAAATTGATTTTTGAAAATTGTAAAAAGTTGGGTCAAAATTATTAGCGATAAATATCAAGAAATGATAATAAATTATTGTATTTCATTTGACTAAAAATGCATCCTTTTGATCATACTAATTACTCCATACTTGTTAAGATAATTAATCACGTTCATTCTTTATACACTAGTGACCCGGCCCATTTGTCTACTTAACTTATTAAACAGGTGGATGATGTAAGTCCATTCGACAACTGTTAACTTTTCCACACAACACTACGATTAGTCGCTAGATCAACTGAATCACTATGTCATTGCTACAACAATCCATACAACATACAATTCGACACCTAATATTTTTTGCATTATCCAGACCTTACACATCTGATATGCTAGTAATAGTTGAAAATAGATCGATTCCTCAGATATTTCGCATTAGACTTTTAGTATCATGTTGTCAGGTTATGTAAGGTGATTTAGTCTAAAATGTTTATAAAGTTAGTCAGGTAAACTTATTCCCTTATATTTATAAAAATGTGTATGGTTCAAAATATTTCATAAACTCAGTAATAAAATCAGACAACATTGGTTAAGTACTTGAGAGCTACGTAATGTAGTAGAGTGTATTATATTTCACTTCATTATACATAAGACAACTGACAAAGTAGTTGGAGTATCAACGATCGGTCTTTGTTTGGTTGCACTGAAATCCTGTTAATTTAAGTGCATACATTTATTGTAATCAGATAAAAGGACTGTTGGAATGAAACAATTTGTTATAATCTCTTCTTACGGTTATGACCCAGCTATTCCTATTGCTTAGTATTCTCGGACACCGATTCACTCGACAACAGGAAAGAGATTATATTCCAAATAACAAGGTTAGATGGAAGTAAGATGTCAGTAGGAAGCACAATAGAGAAAACGTCAGTATATTTATAGTTTTTACATGAGAAGATTGTAGAGTATTCTCCAACTATCGATTAGTGCTGATTGGATAAGAATTAGCCAATTAGCGTGCACCAAAGCAATCATGCATTGAGCATGCTTTAATCCATCCTATGTCCCGCTAACACAATTAGAAGTATATATTTTATTAATCACTTTACCTAGACTTAGTGATAATCAGTCGGTAGGTGACACGTGTTATTCTGAACCTGGTCAGTGAATTACTGTCAAAAATTTGGTAAACGTTGGTGATAAGTAAAGTTTTGTAACTCAAGAAATCTTTTTTTGTAAATCAAAGCTTTATTGAGCATTACATAGTATCCCTATTCGCATACTGGTCAGTCATCATGTCCTTAAGATGGACATTGTTAACAATGATGCAAACGATCAATCCATAAGTAGTAGATAGAGACGAATTCAATATCGACAGAATAAACTATTCGTTAAATATGAAAAAATTTCAAAATTTCACCTCTTTTTGAAGTATATCTTGATGTTATTTTCTAGCAAAACAATGAAGGCTTCACACCTAAACTATCCAGTTCATAGAATGTAACTTCTTTGAAAAATTCTTCCTGAGTTAGAAATCTTCATAATCTCGACAGCAGATGTAACAAAACTTGAACGACATAAATTATATGTTAAGACTACGTTTTCTTTGAACAACCTAACCATAAATAGTTTAGTTTGAGTATGTTATATTATATGTCAAACTATGAAAACGTCTCCAGATAAACAGACGAAGAATTTGAGGCATAAAAGCTCATTAATAATAACAATAATAATAATAATAATAATAATAGGCTAACATAGTGTATTCGAAGTTTAACAACTTCAATAAAACATGGAAATATAAATTTAAAAAAAAGTATAACTATGATTTTCAATTACGTACCGATAATTGTAACCAGAGTATTCGAAGTCGATTGGTAGAATACGATAGACCTTATCAACTTTTGGATCATTTAAAAGAAGTAGGTTATCTACCAGGAGAAAATAACAACAAGGTAATAATAATTTTGTATTAACATGAACAAGGAGGGCTTTAGAGTCCCCCAAATGCCCTAGTATGACCGACAGTTGGGAGATTCCTTTCTACCGATAGAAATGCTCTCATACGGGGCCATGTGCTTATAGCTTCTGCGGATGAAGTCCTTATCACTGCCTATACACAGCAAGGGTGTTGTTCACGAAAATGACGGGATGAGAAATCCTAGAACCGAAATTGGGTCGGTGGATATGGAGGATCTAGCAACTCTGATTCTAAGCTATAAAATTATTTATGGACTCCAGAATTCGGAGAGAACGAATGAAATGTGAACCCATTTTGATTACCAGCTACCAGGAAACTGCATATTCTGATGTCGTTTCAACGCCTTGTGTATCAGACCTCTAGATCAAGGGCTCGGAGAGTATCCTCGTAAAGAAACCACCGGCTTCAGCTAGCTCTCTGCGACAGTATTTCACTCCACACACACAAATATGATAGTAATTTCGAAAAAAGTGATTAGTAAAGAAACATGTAGAATGATGATAATGTTTAACTGGAAAAAAATAGAGAAAAAATCAAGGCTAATATAACAAATAAACAATGGGATAATTCGTATGGATGTCGAATATGTCGAAATGTCTTATCAACTTCAAGTTGCATCACTAAATCAATATCAATATACATTTTAAGTTTTTTTATTTGAAAACATACATATTAGTACAAGAGTGCGCCAAATATATATGCGCCACACAAAACACTGAGAATTTAAAGAGAAGGAAAAAGAAAAAAGGGTAAGGAGCGTAAAGAAAAGAACAATAAGGAAGAGATTGGTGTAAGGTAGTGTAGTAATAATAATAGTAGTAATAATGGGGGAACGGAAAGGTACAATCAGAAAAAGAGGATATAACCACTTTTTATGAAGAATGTAAAAGAAGGTTACAGCAGGATCGCCACTGGCTTCTATTCCGAGTCATATCTGATAACGTCTCTAGCCACTGTGTAGCACCATCTCCCGGACATTAATTAGGGATTCGTGAAAGACCAACACAAGCCAGTCCTTTGCAGCTTTCTTTCATACCACGACAGCATGTCATACAATGACCACCTCTCCACCTTTTACAACCAGTCCCAGTATCGGCAAATAATACACAACGTGGAATTCTCTGAGACGACATTCGTAGAACATGTCCAAGCCACCGAAGTCGATGTTTCAAGATGGTGACACCGATTGCATTATCATCTCTGTGCCCGAACACACGATGCCGAACCTCTGCATTACTAACATGGTGTTGCCACTGGATATCAGCAATCCTTCGGAGGCAACGATGATCGAATACAGAGAGTCGTCTAACGTCTTCAACTCGGAGAGGCCAGGTTTCACAAGCGTAGAGCAAAACTGCTCTCATTGACGAGTTTATCATGATTTCGTGTGCGGGCTGAGATACTGTTCGGGTGCCCAAATCGAAGCAGGTGGCTTTCTTAGGGGGCCACACCCCGAGCCTTTGACCTTCTTGTGACCGTGTGCGTAAAAAAAATTTGAACCCTGTAATTGGACGAGATTCAGCCTAATTTTTTCGACCAATCAGCATCTAGATTGTCATCAGCGTCCTTGAGCAACATTGGCCATTATCCCTACAGTTAATTTTCATTGCTGGTGCTGAATAAAAAGACTACCTTTTCAGATCAATTACAGCTTCTACTTGAGCAACAACAGCAGTGCTTCAAAAATAGCCAGTTAAATTTTTTAGAAAATTTACGCACACGGTTGATAAATCTCCTATGTTTCGGAGATGCAACAGAAGTTGGCAAGTTTATTTATCATCTGCAGACTGAGCTGGAAAACAACTGCAGAACATATGAAGCTGTATATAAAAGCCTCTGTGAATCCCTGACGATCAGTGATGTAAACGAGACAGTTATTCATGATCCGCCCAGCGATCCAGAAATGTCCAACTCAGAAGCATGCCCTGTCGTGGGTTCAAATCCCACTGTACCTGAAACATGTAAGGTATCCAGCTCACAAGAAGAACCCTTCGTGCCAGAAAATGAGTCCTATGGATCAAATAATGGTCAGGAATTTAATGCAAATTTCAAAGATGCTGTTTATTTTAGTGACCTATTATCCACTGATGGAATCTTGAAGAGGTCTGATGAATATGTTTCACAAGAATCAAACCTTAATGACCTCATGTCTGGTGTTGCTAATCCTCATCATCTAGTCAGTTTTAGTGAAGCCTCTACTCAATGCGCGAAATATGCTTTAAATAGAATCAGACTAACTGTTACTTGGGTATATGAGGACCCAACATTATTTCATGGGGGAGGATGAACCCAGAAAATTTCAAAATCCGGATATCAACTCCGGATCTTCAAAAAAAAGGGAGGTGTTGTGGATGCGAAGGATAGACAAATAATTATCATGTTAAGTCCAATGGTGTCCTTGGACGTTAAATTAATAGTTTAATTAATAGTTTATTAATAAAAGGAAATTATGAACTGATATAAATATTTTAAAAAGTTATAAAAGTTACAGGAAATAAGAAGTGGATTAGTACATTCTTCCATAAGCACTGATCACCTGGTGTATAATAAGAAAAGTGTTGTGGATTCGAAGGATAGACCAATAATTATCATGTTAAGTCCAATGGTGTCCTTGGACTTTAAATGGACATTTCCTACTGGTCGATATCTGTCCACTTGTTGAATATGGTACAAAATGTTGTTTTCTATTTTTGTGGTACGATGTGGTATGTTTGGTTAGTATATAAATAGAGTATGTCTGAAATACAATGATTCATAACTCAGAGGCTGAGATTTGTGTTCTGGACTCAACTGGCTGGGATCGACAGGGAATCGGAACCAATCGTAACTCTAGGTCGTCCATTACGTTCGTACGTGTTTACGTGTCATTGAATCGGTCGATAAATACGCTGTTCTCTAGTTTTTTCAGTCAAGGACACAACAATTAGCACAGGGTGAAAAATCAACCGCAACTTAAAGTCATAACAGTTCTCTCATTTTCGTAAACAACATCCCCGCCACGAGAAGGCAGTAAGTAGGACTTCCCTGGCAGAGGCTGTATACGCTTGGTCGTGTGAGAGTATTTCGAGAAGGAGGGCGGACCCACCCCGCTCTCGGAGGGAAGATAGTTGTAATAATTAATGTGAAGGAATAGAGCTTACTCATTTAAGTACATGACTTGGATTGTGCTTCAATTCATCTACATTGCCTTAGACTACCTTATATTTACAACTAGATGATACGGAAAAAAAAGTGGGCTTCGAAGCCAAATAAAATGAAAGTATGTTTGGTCACTGATATGAACAAAACAATGCAAAATTTAATGCTTATGAGCGGTTAGATTTCTTAGATGATAGGAAGGTAAAAAGAGCTTATAAAGAGAAAGGAAAAATACATTAACTTTAACTTGTGGCGAAATGAAACGAGTTTCGAGAATTTTACGGATAAAAAGGAGTCAGATAAGAAACAAGATTGTGGAGAAAATAATAGCTGAAAAACAAATTACAAATATTATTTCATTAGAGAATATGATGACTTAAATAAGACGGAACAATGTTCTAGGAGACATGTTATCAAGCATTTTCACCTTGAAAGAATAAAAACGCCATTTTTTGGCAATAACTGTTCCATATTTTTTCCACATTTTATATGTTAAAAGATTATTGAAATTCATTTTATCAAATGAAACGCCACTGCCAGTAGAGAAGTGGCTTATTGCTTAAACCATCAGCTTTAAAACTATAGGTACCAGGTTCAAACCTCGCATAACCATGAGTTTAAGGATCTGGGTATCATCATTTGAATTTTAACACAAAAGTGTGACTCTTAAAGCTGAGTAGTCAAAGATATACGTAGTAAATAAATTACATGAGCAGTTAGGTGTTGTAAAGTATCCAAAAGGAAATCCTGATCGACCTACGTTTCGTTTTAGTTGGTACTCGACAACAAGGGGTGCTTGTAGTTTAGAGACGACAGATGCAACCAGTGGGATTCGAGTTCATGTCGTCCAGCTTCACAACCTGAGACGTTACTACTTAGACAGTTGAATTACGAGTAACTTTCTGTAGAACTGAGACAATTAATTGACAGCTAAGTAGTAGTGGCCAACATCATGTTCGCCCAGTCCCTCAGTGCAGACTGACTTCTGTCAATCAGATTGCAGTACGGTCACTAGCCTAGTTAGCATTATTTACTACCAGTAACACATTTATAATTAAAGGTCAGTTGCGGCACGAATACCTAATCGGCACTACTATTGTAGGAATCTTGTGTTATCGTACTAGGTTTCTGAATCCCCTCACATTACAGTTAACTTTTCGGTAAAAATGAATACCGTTAGGTACTACATCTTTCATTTAAAATAATGAAATGTTAAACATAAAAACTGATGGGCTATTTATTAATGTGAGAATTTTTAGCATGTAAAACAGTAAGATTACTAAAATTTGCAATGCAACATTTAAAGGAAGGAAGCGAGAAAAACAAGCAAGTCAAAACAATAACAAATATGATTCAAAAAAATAATTCCTCTCAGAAAAGCAAGATTTTAAGAAAACACCACAAGGTATAAACGGTAATAACAAGAAATACAGCTTAATTCAGATGAGATTTATAGCTGTATTGTAAGTTATGTTTTACGATGAAGTCACGCGGTTTTTGTCCACACCCCCCACATACACACAAAGGGATTATATATATATATATATATATATATATATATATATATATATATATATATATATATATATATATATATATATATATATATATATATATATAAACTACATTATAATAAATGTGAAACATAAATCTAAATGGTTTAACGCCAAGTTTTTGGATAAACTTTTTTCCATCTAATCTCGTGACACTAAAATAGTAGCGTAGTTGGATTAAATGCTTTTGTTAGTCTTACTTTGATCAACAAAATCCAGTAGTGTTGTTAGCTTTTTTAGATTCGGTGTTTATGACGTAGTTAACTCATGTAAATCACAACTCATAGAAAAAAAGAATATGGATATTTTTGGTTGCTTTTTTCAATATTTGCAAATTATTTACAATTTCCGCAGCTGAATTCGACAAATCTCATCAATGGAGCTCGATTGTACGGAGCATAATTAAGGTACGCAACGCAAACAACGGAAGATGTTCAATAATATTGTGCATCGATTGAACTTAGACTCGTACGACAACGAATACCGGCCCATTGACTTAAAGGTTAAGCGTTCGCATACGAAACCAAACGCCCTAGGTTTGATCGCCGCTGGTAAGGTCGTGGGTGCACACTGCTAACGAGCTCCACGCTAAAACAAAACACATGTCCAGTGCTTCCTAGAATTCAGTGGTTGTTTAATTGATATTGGTTTGTGATTTCAACAAAATCCTCACTATAAAATTACATGTTAGAACTCTAATTCATCAAGTTTGCTTTAGACAACTGGACAGTATCGCTGACCCCAAAATAACAATGTCTAGGTCAATACTGATTGTTTTAGCCTGAACGTGAGTTGAATAAACTCACCAGAAACTCATATATTTTAGCATCACATACTGCAAGTGAGACGTATTAAATCCTAAGTAACGGTGAAATCCATCTTCACAAAGAAATTTAATAAGATGGCACATAATGCTTTAAAATTCAAAAATGCAATGTCTGTCTAATTAATTTTAATACAATCAAAGAAACATTGTAACTAATTTAAAAATATTCTTGAAGACTAAATAACAAACTGTTGGAATAGTCTGAATAAAATCTATTCATATAGAATACTATCTAATTAACGCCTGAAAAGAAGTATCCATTTGATTTAACTAGTGATCAGCACGTAAAAGACGTTCTTTTAGAAGCCATATCAAAATAATTAAGCTCTCGTGTGTTAAAAATAAAAATTTCCGGAAGAGAATTACTTATTCAGATAACGAATTCATAAAGATAGCAGACGAATATACACAAAAATGCAGTAACTTCAAGAACAGTTACATAATGAAATTTCTACAAAAAGAAAAATATTAGTCAACTTGAATTATAAAACTTGTGATTTGCTTAAGAGAACAAGAACACTGACCTTGTGTCGAAATAAGTTTAGAAGATACAATACAACCAAAAGAATTTAAATAAAACAATATTAGTGAAGTCATCAAACCTGGAGACGGAAATATTCACAAAAACACCACTTCACCAAATTAAACTTTATTCACAAACGATATCGGATGATGAGCCAAAGCTACGTGGTTATAGTCAAATACATATATATAATTTGATCAGTCTACGTTATCCTTTACGAAGCTAGACTGGAAGGTGCTGTCTTTAACATATCAGATATCCTTTGATGAATGATTTAGGTAACTAGTTCCGTAAGAGATAAGTCACTTAGTCACTAGTAACGTGGATCCTAGAACATAAATGAGTCCGGTCCAAGTTGTCACCACACCACATGAGCAAAGCGAGATCTGATTATCAAAACACATTCTAAAGTAGTACAACTAGTAACAGTATTAGTAATAGTAGAAAATGTTAGGTATATACAATGATTTAAGAATGAATCTATGGAATAAAAAATACCAGATAAATCTAAAACTCAAGTTTTAAGCGAAGATAAAGAGTGAATACGTCTGTACCATTGTGACAAATCCGAACCCTTATCAGTCATTTCCAACGATTGGTCAAGATAAGCACGTGGACCATTACCAGATAATTTGAAATTATCAAACGTGGTTCAGTCTAATAGTCGATGACACAATTAATTGATCCCACATTCTGGTTTGATTCCCCACCCAACCAACCACTACAACAACAAACACACCACATCAAGGTAGGCGATGGTTGAGAATGCACACAAATACAGATAAATAAGTATGTCTTGGCTTGATTTATTCTTTACCTCGATATGTACCTGTGAGTGATTAGTGCAAGATGGTCATTCTGAGTCATCATATAATAATTGTTGTACTGAATAGATGATCCTTAAAAATATCATCCCTAATACACACATTGGATTTGCAACTGCTTTACTAAATTCATCAGAAGACTAAACTAATTGAATATTATCTTTCAGTCCCAAAACATCAATGGGTAGATTCAAGTAAAACAATACCAAGTGAATTAAACTTCACCCCATTGCACAAGCAAGTGGCTATCAGGACTCAGTAGCTAAGTGGATAATGCGATGGCGTTTGAAGCGAACGGTACTGAGTTTGAGTCCCAGAGTGAACCAACTCTGAGATGCAGGTACATCCAGCTGACGAGTCCCAAACAGGACGAAACGCACGTCTTGGACTCCACTGCTAGCCACTATCCATCTCTGTTTGTATAGTGACGTTGAAAAAGTAAATACATTTCCAATTTCTACAACACATTTAACACAGACTTAAAACTTATTTACAGATTAAACTTAATTGACTAAACAACTAAAAATAGCAATACAATTCTGTAAAATAAGTAAACGCCTTTAAGTAAGTGGTGGTTCATCGATTAGTAATTCTAAACAACTGTGAAAGTTATAGTTTCACATGATACACAGTTGAATACAAAATTGACTTAATAATTATGAGTTGAATCCACCAAATGGTGTATAGTCTAACGCGGTATGGTAGGAAAACATTATTATTATCATTATTTTTAAATACAATCCATACGATGATTAAAAACATAAGAAAATCACAAACTTACTTTCTTGGAAATCATTATGGCAAAATACAATTGGGAATACTTCAGCATAATGAACTTCAAATTTTTCTCTAAATAACCACGAATTGACAACAACGAGAAAAAAAGTAAAAGAAACACATTACTGATCATTGGGTAAAACATTTGTTTTAGAGATAACAAGCTTGCAAAAAAATGGCATACATATTTACACAATCTAACACACTATAGCACAGACCAAATAGGACTAAAGCAGTGTATCCAATGTTAAGTTGATAAAACTAGTGGCTGCAATGCAACTTGATCAATAGGACTTGGTTACCAACAAAGGAATAGATAGAAATGATACCGGTTACTATCAAATAACCAACCAAGTGTAAATATTTCAGTACCACAGAAGATAGGTCGAAGCCCAGGTAGAACAGTGGGTGTCAGTCAGTCAATCAGCTACAACGTAGGACCAGTGGGTGACGCGGGCTCAAATTCCACAGGGTGAAACACTTTCTTCAAGATTACAGGTATGTCTTAACGAAAAGCGCCAGTTAGCACGAAACTTAGCTTCCAACAACCTAACAGGATTAAAGTTAGTAGCATATACACATATTAAACCTCGAAAATGACCTGTCTCACAATCGCATAGCTTATCATTAAAAAAAGCTGGAAGCATTGACATAAATATTTAAGCTTTCTAACAAACCAGTTTATAACTACTCAACGTGTATTGATTACAATTACTTGGTTTCCATGACTAACTTTTGTACGATGAGAATAACAAACATTTGTGGATAAAATGAATTCGTTTAATTTCCCATGACGTTACATCTTTACAAACAGTTAATTCCAGATATTCTTTAACACAGAATCAAAAGGCATTGCTTACTTAAGAACAACTTTTGATGATTGATAGAAAATGGATAATAACGATTCAATAGACCAATATATTATACATCATTATTTGACGCTAAAGATACGTTGACCAACCCATGAGTTTTACATACGGGAAACTATACCTCTGATATTACTATCTATTCTCCTCGATGGTAAAATATCAAAAAATGGAGGATACTCAACTTTATTTGTTCCAAACGCAAAATTAATTTTAAGATGAATGACGCTGAAAAACTTACGTGTCTTTTTTATGCAAGATGAATGTGTCATATATGCATCGGCTATATGAAGACAGTTCATTGATTTTAATGAACAATAAGACTATTTTCTAACTTTCCATTAACACGTTGCCCAAGAAAGTTTTTGATAAGCCCGAGTGAACTGTTTAAAAGGGCATTCACACGGACAACAGATACGAATGTTACTGCTACCATTATCTTATATCTCGTTGACCTTTAGAAGTTTTATATTGAATACTTCAGGGGAAAAAAATTAAACAACTAGATGTTTCTTGTTTCAGATGTTCTTAGTTACTACGTGACAAAATGAACATTTTAAAAACAATTAATATTTACTTTATCCAATTATATTCGTCTATGAGAGATAATTCATATACCATATTTCTAGCTTCTTCGTAAGATGGTTCCGTCAATATATGTCCATCATTAGCAAAAGAGAAACCTTTTGATTCTAATTCAGATAAAGTATTCGAAGAAAAATTTGGAGATGGACGATGTAAATGTTCAGGTGTGCTTGTCAACTGACTAAGATATTTATCAAACATTCTTATTATGAATGATGGGGTTTTTGAAAATGGCATGGATAATTTATGGAAAGAAGCCATATGACGTGCTGCTACTTCGATAATTAGTGGAAGTTCTTGTGTAGTTAAAGGTCTGGACTGAAAAAGTTACAGCAAAAAGAGCAGAGAAAACTATAGTAATATAAAATTATGACATCAAAATGTCAGCATATTGATAAAGAATAATTATATGTGAAAATATTTATTAGATAAAGCATACACTGTACATTGAACGGATTTGGTAAAATGATCAAGAATAAAAATCCCTTAGAATAGAACGAATTCATTAACTTCTGCAAATCTTGCTATTGATAATACTCTTTATTATTCACGGACGAGATACACAATAATTTTGCACATTTTGGAGAATATAAAATCTCTTTTACGAAAGCCTTACCCTCCCCTTGTCACTACGCACGTGGGTCAAGAACGGCTGAAATGTGTTATAAATCGTTAGTTAACAATAAGCTCCTATAATTCGATCCCTACGTCATCAGAGCAAATCATTAAACAAATTCTGTAATGAAATATCAATCTGGAAGTTCCAAGAACTGCATTACAGAAACCATTATTTAACTAACAAAAGGCAATTAGGTCAATTTTACCTCAATAAATTCTTCAATTCGTCCACCAGGAAATACACCATGAAGTTTAGGCCCAATCCTTTTTTCCGAAAGTAATGCAAAATTAACTGAATCAGAGATAATCGAGTCTGTACAACTTCTCAATACTTCACCATATACTCGAATAAGTACTTTACGTGGTTCATTTTCCAAAGAAATAATATCATTATTTAAATATCCAATATATAAATAATTGCTTAGTCCACAACTCCTAAAATGAAAATAATCTATTTTAAATAGTTTTATGGAATACAAATGTGATTATATTAACTATGCATTTGACAAAGTGATCAATACATTTTTCACATCAATTAAGAACAATTAGTCTCTTTAATCAATCTAAACAATGCAGTCAGAAGGCAAAGTTTATTAGAACTATGTTGTGTACTAGGAGTAATAAATTATGAACAATTCATGTCTACAAACAATTTCTACTTTTAATAAATCTACCATGAACATGTTAATTTAATACTTCAGAATGGTGTGATCTATATCGTTTTACTTAATTATTTTTTATTTGTTTAATTTGACATTTGCTATTTCACATATAAATAAATTGGAAAGTGTATATGTGATCAAACAGTCCAAAATTTAGTTATAATGAACTCTATTTTCTCATTATATTACCTATATTATACACAATTGCTACCGTAAATTGTGAAGATGATAATTTCTGAAATAATCTAAAATAGATAATTACACATGCTGGTCGGCGGCCTATGCTCCATTAGGAGTAACAGGCGTAAGTAAGATAATTACACAGAATAACCAATTTTCATAAAGCTTATTTAGTAGACGAATTAGTCTATTTTTTTAAATTAGGTTAAATATGATTGCTATGACGGGCTGACTGAATTGATAAAATACTGGCAACTAACCGAATTGATTATTTTCCAACAAGATAAAACACAAATATCAACAGAACAGAAATAACCCCCTCTTTAAACAAGTGAATTGTAAAGAAAAAGATCACCACTGAAAACTCCAACACATTCAAAAAAATACGACTATAAGTTAGTTATACGATATATGATAATCGCTGAAAAATTCTCATTATATTAAAACACAATTATATGAACGAAGAATATTCATTTCAATAGTTTCTCATCAGGTTCTATAATTATATATCCAAATTAATAATCCATAAAATTGGCCAGGCTTAAGGCAGAGTACATCATTGAGAATTGTAATAGATGAATCAAAAATTTATATATGAAAATTAAAAGGTCAACTAGACAGGTTAAGGGTAAGCCACAACATAGGAAAAAAAGTATCAAAAATTGTTTATCATATAAATTAAATCGTTAATTCACTTGATATTGCTTTACTTGAATATTCACATTGATGTTTAGGTCTGAAATTGATCAGTCTCTTATTGTCATATTTGCATACTGTGCGTATTGCCCTGATATTGCCTTAATTTACAAGCATTATAATGTCGGGATGACCAATACGAACTGTTAACTTGAATCAGTGTATAAGTGAAATAAAATTGTGAACACATAAATATTGGTACGAGAGGGCCCCAAATGCCCTGGTATGGCCGAGAGCGAGGTGGGTCCGCTCTCCCTCTCGAAACACTCTCACACAGCCACGAGTATACAGCCTCTACCAGGGAAGTCCTACTCACTGCCTTCTCATGGCGGAGGTGTTGTTTACGAAAATGAGTGGACGAAAAGCGAATGTCCGGCGCTTTAACCGGATCCCAAACCAAATCATTGGTGCATATGGGTTCCAGTATCCTGAGGGAACAAATGGCGTATGAACCAATTCCTTGGTCACCGGCTACCATGGGACTGCATCTCCTCACGATGCTCCACTGCCTTGTGGGTTAGACCTTTAGGTCAAAGGCTCGGGGTGTGGCCCCCAAAGAAAGCCACCTGCTTCGGTCTGGGCACCCGTGCAGTATCACAGTCCACACACATTTAGTATGAAAATGATGATATTTACTGAAAATTCTATTCTCGCTTCGATTTACAATCAAACAACTCACATTATTATTATTTACTACGTCATTTATTCCCACTTTATGTATCCTTATTTTTCGACCTATACAGCAGCTCGTCTATGGTGGAAACTCGGTTCAATCTAAAGGTTCTTCAGTCACTACCTGGTTGAAAATTATATGCTACCACCGAATATGAGTACTGAAGCAGATTTTCTGAAACCACGTGCACCATCCAAACTGGCTGCCTTCAACGTTCGCACACTTATGCAGGTCGGATAACAGATAGGGCTGGCTATGTCTTTGGAAAGTCTTAATGTTAATCTGGCTGTAAAAGGTCAGATCTACAACGCGTCAGTGAGAGCAGTTTTGCTCTACGGTAATTACCAGATACAGCTGCTGCTTCCAGCTCATTTGCACGACCCGACCACCAGGCTTCTCGGTCCTTACGCAAGCTTTGTCCAATTTCATCACGCAGCATCCTTCGTTTGTGGTCAAAACCACGGTCACCCGGAGCAGACCGACAGGCTTCAATCAGTTGTAAGGAACCAGAAGAAACCCAGTGCTTATAAGCGGGACGTTTCGCGAAGCCGCAAGCGGCTTTACTCGCCATTTTCATAGCGTCGTAAAGTCGCAACCAATGCTCATCTATACTTTTCCGTGGAATGGTAGCTAGCCTAGAAACTAGCTCGGTTCGATACTTACTTGCAACAGAAGTTGCAACCAGCTTGCTAACATCAATCCGTTGGTGGCGGTCACTTCGTTGGCCACTGAAAAGTAAGGTAAGATTGGCGCAGACCAAGGCATGGTCAGAGTCCAGATAGGTACTCCAAAAGGAGCGACAGCCTTGTACACAACCACACCAGCGGTAGCTGATCGCGATGTGATCAATCTGATTCCAGGCTTGAGATGCATAAATGGGACGCCAGGTGGCACATCGGCGATGACTGTGTCGAAAGTTAGTGCTAGACAGAAACAGGTTGTGGTCTGTGTACAGTTGCAGTAGATGGTCCCCGTTATCTGGCTTGCGATCAACAAGTCCCCATCGGCCACCTAAACGACTATCTTCTGTGCCTAGACGCCCGAGCATTCAAGTCTCCGGCTAGTACTACAACATCTGTCGAACGCATTTTCTGGAGGAGAACAGTTAACTGGTGGTAAAACTTATCCTTGATTGCATCCGGGCTGCAATCTGTCGGGGCATAGGCGGAGATGACGAAAAGACATCGTTTCTCACGCCGATTTCTTATCGCTTTGATGGAACTTTCTGATCTAACAGCACATAACCGACTGTTAATGGGGATCCAATCGATTAGTGCTGTCTCGGCTCTAGCGCTTAGTGCAACACCAACGCCAGCAAGACCAGACGAAGATGCCACAGGGTCCCCGGATAAGCGCACGTAAAACAGGCTTTTTGAAGCGACTGATGGAGAGCGAATATGTAGTACTTCACCAGAGTCTTGAATACGGGTCTCGGATAGACTTTCCAAAGACATAGCCAGCCCTATCTGTTATCCGACCTGCATAAGTATGCGAACGTTGAAGGCAGCCAGTTTGGATGGTGCACGTGGTTTCAGAAAATCTGCTTCAGTACTCATATTCGGTGGTAGCATACAATTTTCAACCAGGCAGTGACTGAAGAACCTTTAGATTGAACCGAGTTTCCACCATAGACGAGCTGCTGTATAAGTCGAGAAAATAAGTATAGACAGAGTAGGAATAAAAGAGGGTGAATAATGATGTAGTAAATAACAATAATAATAGTAATAATAATAACAATAATAGTAATAATAATAATTTGAATCATTTGATTGTTAGTTGAAGCAAGAAAAGTAGTTTCCATACTTATAGACCTAAAGGTCTAACCCACAAGGCAGTGGAGCATCGTGAGGAGATGCAGTCCCATGGTAGCCGGTGACCAAGGAATTGGTTCATACGCCATTTGTTCCCTCAGGATACTTATTATTATTATTTATTTCAACACATAGATAATGGTACAAAGAGGCACCAAATACGTATGCGCCACACAAATCTCATTCGATATGTGTGAGGGCTGTGATACTGCCCGGGTGCCCAAACCGAAACAGGTGGTTTTCTTAAGGGGCCACACCCCGAGCCTTCGACCTGAATGTCTGATCCACAAGGCAGTGGAGCATCGTAAGGAGATGCAGTCCCATGGAAGCCGGTGACCAACAATTGGTTCATTCGCCATTTGTTCCCGCAGGATACTGGAGCCCATGTGCACCATTGGTTTGGAATCCGGTTAAAGCGCCGGACATTCGCTTTTCGTCCACTCATTTTCGTAAACAACACCCCCGCCACGAGAAGGCAGTGAGTAGGACTTCCCTGGCAGAGGCTATATACGCGTGGCCGTGTGAGAGTATTTCGAGAGGGAGAGCGGACTCTCCCCACTCTCGACCGTACCAGGGCATTTGGGGGCAAATGACGGGATAGCGAAGGTGGTCCTTGTGGCCTACCTATTAGGTATACCGTCCAACGAATTGGGTTTTTTGCGAAGTAACCACCTCCATTGCCCTCAGGATACTGGAGCCCATGTGCACCATTGATTTGGTTTGGGATCCGGTTAAAGCGCCGGACATTCGCTTTTCGTCCACTCATTTTCGTAAACAACACGTCGCCATGAGAAGGCAGTGAGTAGGACTTCCCTGGTAGAGGCTGTATACTCGTGGCCGTGTGAGAGTGTTTCGAGAGGGAGAGCGGACCCACCTCGCTCTCGGCCATACCAGGGCATTTGGGGCCCTCTCGTACCAATATTTATGTGTTCAAATAAATAAATGTCAATAAAGCGTTAAATCATCATCAAAACATCGAATAACAAGGATGTACAAACACTGAAATGATTAAGATTTGCGGCTCAGGTGGATGCTTTTAGTGTTGTTCAGTTCTCATAACGGAAAGGTTTAATCGCGAAGCCGATAATGTCCAGAACGACAATGAAAGCTTCGCAATTAAACCATCTAGCTCAGAGGACTCGACAGCAACACTATTATAATATACAGATGTTTGTGCGCTTTTGAAAATATTCTAATATTTGGAGGAAACTATTTGATTAGACAAATATTTTTACTTCCTCATCAAATCAGCCAGGTAAAATAAAGTAGAATATATATATATATATCAAGATTACACTTGGCTTACTTCGATAGCTCAACACAGAAATTATTCGTATCAGACCAGCTTCCAGAGAGAATTTTTGAGCACTGAGTTTTAAGATGACCGACTATACTTTTTGTTATTTCATCAACTTTCAAAGGAATAGAATCTGGGCATGGAACACCGTCTTGGTCATCACTAGATAATGTAAACTTGACTACAGACATAGAATTCAATCAAAACACGTAGTTACGAATTTGAAATTTTAAGGTTGCAGATATGAAGAACGTTGAAGGAGAATATAATTAACCTATGTAAATCGTAGTAAGAAACATTGAAACAGTTATTTACATTGGCTAAAAATGACAAGAACTGAGGACTATTTTGAGTATTATGCTTTTCATCGAGATTATTAAAGTTAATCAACAAAATAACTGCCTATAAATCAGTTACACAGACCACTGAACGTACAAGTCTCTCACGAAATGCGCATGTCCTCAGGCTGAAGCAATAGCAACGCACTTGTCAATATCAAAGTAAAATTAATTTCACGAAAACGAGTGTAAAATAGCTGGATTCATTCACACGCTGACCCAATTACGAGGGTTCCGTGAAGCAATATTGACTGAAACTTATTTGTGAAGTACTAATGAAGTTGACAACTTGGGTGCAGAAATAAACTAGCGTACACAGGACGTCACTTGAACGGAAATTTATATTTAATCTTGATGTAGATATACTGCCAGAGGCGATGTGTTTACAAATTGATTAATAATCAACCGACCTCTCGCTTATTTGGAATACGCAAATGACCCTGTTGGAAGATCTTGAATCGCCTAAGCACACTTAGCAACAAGTCAAGACTGGTTAGGATACGTTCCTCTCCTTCCAAATATAGCGTTGCCTTATGGCTGGTTTTTGATGGAGTGTTGATTACTTTACCTATCGTACAATTCTCACCAGCCCTCGTGAATTGGTGATTGACAAAATTTCGGAACAAATACGAAAGGCTTACTTAGGTTACCTTAGCTTGCGCTATATATGGTGCAATGGATATATCTAATATGTTTGTAAGAGATCGCCTCATATAAAACATTACTCAGTGTCTCTCCATGACCGTGAAACGAACGTAGAGGATCTGTGTAAAGCAAAAGAGTTTGATCATAGGTGTAGTATCATAAATTTCACTTCTTAAATCAGATAAACTTTAATGAAAATGGATATTGTTACTGATTTCGGTTTTTACGCTGTTGACTTCCTGTGTCAAAATGTAATAGGTTTGGAGTTAATCTAATAATGTTATTTCTTAGTACTATGTAGCTCGTTTATAGTTCCAACAGAATGAACACGTTTAAAAATATTATGACTGTCCAATGTCAACAAACCACTTGTTCACCGAAGACTTTGATCAAGACAGTGTACTTGAGGCTCTTGGCACCTTAGACATGGAAAAGTCAACGGGACCAGATGAACTACACCCCAAAGTCTTGAGACATATTTCACAATATGTCGCTGCCCCGCTGACGGTAATATTCAATATGTCACTTGGCAAAGGTGTGTTACCCATGGACTGCAAGGACGTAATCGTCACTTCCATACATAAAACAGGACCAAGACAACTTCCATGGAACTACCGACCTGTAAGACTTACCAGTGTTGTAGTTAAAATATAGGACAGAATAGTCAAACAGACCATAATGACATTTGTGGAAACGAATAACCTGTTAAACAGCTTACATACTACACAAATCTGAATTTGTAAGGTTAATTCAGTACTTCAAGTGGACTTATAAGCCTTAAAAGTCTTAGAAATTATTAATCTATGTGTACAAATTGTAAAACATGACAGTATGACTAGACGGAGGACTAATTGGGAATGCTTTGAAAACATAAGCAACTGTAAGTATTCACTTACATTGAGCTTAAATATATATTTAAGCACAATATAACTGTAAAGATAGAAAATCACAAGCCCCATATTTCATTTAGAATAGAATTTTGAACACGAAACATTTGATTGGTATTACTTTAAATACTATCAAAATTTTGATAACTCAAGTGATAAATTTGGGTGCATGATAGGAAAATGTATATATGATGTAACAGCTTAGTAAATATATAGTTGGTGTGTATCTATATAACCACCTACATTTAGTGGTAATTACCTATGACATATATTGAGACGTCAAAGATTAACACATCTTAAAGCCGAATCTTCAGATTTACAATACAAGTGGGTACTTGTTACTTCGATTTCCAAGTTGTACATTAATATGTGTAGAATATAGAGCACAATTAAGTGTATTGACATGAAGCACAAATAAGGAAGTTAACCCAAAGAATAACTAACCTGTTAGTGCAACGAACTGAGTAGAACCATGTGACAAAACGTTTAAATAACCATAAATACTACGGACAACCTTGAAGGGTCAAACAACATCTGAGATCATAGATTCAAACTTCAAACTTCGCTGAACAGTCTCAGCCGACTATTGTCTCCTGAAGTTTATGTCTTGATGGCAAGAGAGCGTCTTCGAGTATGTAAATGCATGATGGTTGTTTTGCTTCTCCTGAAAACGCAGAGCAAAACAAGTTGGTTGAAAACAGTAGAATTGATCCTGGTGTAATACTTGAATTAATCACTTTATGTACCGACGTGACTAAATTAAACGTACAGGCTTCTTGAAAGACTCCACAAAAGGTCTCGCTTTGAAAAAAGATATTGAGAATGAAAGTGTTTCGTTAACTGAAGAATGTAGGTGGGAAGAGATGTCTAAATTATACCGTTTGCATTATGTCGTCCTCTAACCCTCCAGGATGCACAGGAAAAAAACATGTGACCATATTTTGCCGCTGGTACTCTACTTAATATCAATGTGAATGTGAAGGTATTTATATCGGTGAGTAAATATTCAAAATAAATAGTTCTGAAGGTCTTCGACACTGATGCTCACCTCATTCGTTTTACTGGACACACCTAGTTGAAGGTGAGTTTCTCGATAATAAACTTTGAGCAAGAGGGCAACCTTGAGGATTCGGCATATGACCAGCTACGAGATGTGTATCAATCGACAGACTGGGAGGGAGATCACGCTTCAACAGCGTTGTATTCGCTCAGTGTCCTTCAGGGTTCAACTCCAATAAGATACGGACCAATGCTTCGGAAGTTTTCACACAACATATTCCACTCTATGAGCAGCTCAGTCATGTGGCTAATGATTTGTAAAAATGAACGGCCAATTTAATCCAGTGTATGAGATTAAAACAATTCCATGTTTTGTACCCATGTAGTCTATTTTTATTTGGTCCCTAAATATATCATTTTAACGTGCTCAGAAATTTTGTGATTTTCTTACGTAGTTTGTCATCAACGACATTGTTGCTCATATCTCGTATTTGATAAAGTGTGCTTGCCTTATGTGCTTGTCATCCACACTCCAATTGTTCGTCATTGATTTATACATAGTTCGTTATATGTGTAGGCTGACTCGCCCATCATTCATTGAGAGGAGAAGTGTGCCTTCCTTATCTCACAGTTTTTATTGTCTGTGTTCATTAATGAACGTATGAAAGATACCCAGAAAAATGCATTCTTATCTAACTCATTTTATTCTAGTACTTATTTACGCGACTAGGAACAATAATGGACTACCCAATCGACAAATTCGATCACTTTGTTACAGAAAATGCAATTCAGACTATTCACGATGCCTTTTTCGTAAGCACAGTGTACATCATGCCACGTTTTGAAACAAGCTTAACTCGTTAATTAAATCTTTAATTTCTGTAACATTTTATTAAACGTTAGAAAAGGTTAAGAAATTAAGAACGTTGAAATCATATGGTCACAAAATCCGATAGAATTTGATGAGACCACAAGTATTTGGAACTCGACAACACTTTAACTAGTGACACCTCCTATAATCGAAACTTGCCGACCCGGTGAAATCAGAAATCAGGAACGAAGAGGTTCGGAGATATATTTGATAGACCATCGATATATCGAGAGCTAAATGGTATAAACTGACTAGCGATTGCAGGAGAAGTTAAACATGGAGTTGACACTTGTGATCTGGTGCGAATGCATGGCCGAGCACCTTCAGTTATGTAAGTCTATCAAAACTAAAGTAGTCAGCATCCGTTGTCGAAGAAATACAGAGCTATTGACTTTGGGATTTACTCACCGAAACGAATTCGGAATTCAACACAAAGGATGAGAGGTAAAGTAATCTGTGATGAAACACGCACTTCACGAAGAATCGATCTCGCTCTAAATGTAGCAACAAATATTGGTAATGCAAGTTCAACAACAGCGGTACTTATATTTGATCTTTAAAATGTAGTTATTCCATGACACATTGTTCTGAAGTATTATTTGCACTATTCAGTTCAAATGCTTTTATATTCATTCACAGTGTTCTTCATTTACTCAGTATTTATTTCACACAAAACGAATTTAAAGGTTTCCCTGTTCATTCTATGATATTTCCCCTAAACATTTGTTGATTTGCTCACTTTGCATGAAACCAAATATTCAGAAGACGAAATTAAAATACGAGGGTCTGGATATGGTTGATAGTAGGAGAGGTAGGAAGCAGCTGAAAGAACCATCGTTGGTTGTTTTTGGAGTACAATTTTTCGTTCGGTTGAATTTTAAGAATTCACTTTTTTTCTGTTCAAGTAGACAAAAGTAATCAAAACAAAATCAAGTCAGAATATGTTGTAGCGTGGCGTCGAGTCCAATTTGATTATGAACACCGCTACCAAGAAACGCGTGTCAAAGAAATTAGAAGGCGTAGGTTGAACGTAACCATATTTATTTCGTTTGCGATCTCGTGGTATCGAATGAATACCAAGATCGTGCCAAGAAATGGTACAAGCGAAAGCAGGAAGGTGGAGTACGTGCGAACAAAGCCAAAAACCGCGGAACAATGATGGAAGGTAATGGAGGCAGAAAATGGCTGTAATTAGCACAGTTAAACAAAAGCACATTAAAACAAGCACCGGTACAGTTGATTGTAGTAATGATTGTTTTCATTAAACCAGTCGTGATCTCGTGATAAAAGTGAGTCACTTCAATATAAATAATAAGACATTAGACAAGGCTGTGAAACTAAAAGCTGGTTCAAGACTATAGGTGGTTTTTATGTAACTGACTACTAGAACAAAGATGTGAGAAAATTATGTCTGCACCTTCGTAGAATTATGGTTTGATTCTGTATTCATCCTACTTTAATAATAGATCCAATACCAAAACTGTAGATTTCTCATGATGTGACTATCTAATCTATATGATCTTACATGGAAGTCACATCGGTGTCTCCACTGACTCGTCGTACGATGATCATCAGCACTTTGGAAGAACACATTCTCGCTGGGGATAGAATAATATATCTAATGTGGAAAGGTGTGGATTACACAAGAATTACCAAGCCTACAAGGCCGATCCATGCCATCTTGAATGTTTAACACCATTGTGGGCTTCTCTTCTTGATAAATGTTAAGGATTGTGTGAATAAGACCAATACCGCTATACCTTCCTCCCGGTTTACGCGCATAGTATTCCTATCAATCAACTTATAATGTAGTGCAGAAATCTAGTATTTACGAATTATGATTTTATTAGCTATTCCTGTAAACATGTTGTAATCTGTGGAAAGCGCAGAGAATACATGACACTATTAGCAAATGACTAAATTTAGGGTCATTACAAGATTTCACTTACCTTGTCATAAATGTTGGTCCACCGATTATTTCGCTTACTCGTAAAAACTATTATACTCAATCACTGCAGCAAATTGCAGTTTACAGTTACTGATTTGAAAACAAGTGCATTGTCACATCTATGTTTTTCCTTAGTTCTGTCTAAAATTCATCGGTAGTACTAACTGAGGTCCCGTGTGCTATGTTTCATCGCCTTCTGAATGTAGTCGGAAGTCCTTTAGATTTAAGTAACCTGCTTGTCGGAATTTGTCGGGACACAGACGTTTTTCATCGGATAAATTTGTGATGACCCTCAGAAGTGAAAGCTTGCCACTTGTTAACTAACATTTAAAGAGCCCCCTGAAGGAACCAAACCTTGACGAGGATAGGTAAACTGTTTGATATCTAGTTACTTAAACGCCTGGTGACTTGTCTAGGGCTCAGTCATATTTCTCTAGCCAAACACACTAATTGATTTCTCTGTTGTCGACGTCAAGGACTGCGACTGTTTATTCTTTGTTTATATATACACCATTATGGTATTGCCTCGACGTTACTTGACGAGCCAGAAAGCAGCTGCCATTGAAAGCTAGGATGCGAGTTACGTCATATTTGAGGCTTGGAGCATGATGTTCATTATCAAACCATCAACCTAAAGTGAGCCCAACACTAAGCAAGAGTGAGGGTAGAATTATTAATTAACAAAATTAGAGATGAGGGTGATGGTTTCAGTTCACCCATGTTATACAGCAGTGCGTTTGATTTGTCCCCAGCCCTTCACAATTATAGCTAAGGCAAATATTCAGTGATATGAAGGTTATATTTTATGCTTGCTGCTTCATAACCTCGTTTTTCCAAACTAATACTGAGTTCACTGTCTCAGCAAGATAATCTAACACATGTACATTCAAGGCATCATCCCAAAAACAGATGACTAGCACGTGAGACCGACGCTGCTTCGTTTTTCCTCCACAGCGACGATAGAACCGTCAACAACAGATCAACTTGCGAAGATGGACGAACCCCAACTTGTACGCACCGGCTTAATGCAAGCGTATACAGTCAAACAAGTACTAATAGTTTCAATACGCATCTCTAATCACAAATGATGAGTAAAACATTACAGTATTTTTATTTTTATTTGTGTATCTAACTATTACAATCAGCTGTAAGTTTCCAAAATTAACAAACACTATACTCCCATATTTCTCCTGTGATTTCAGACCTGATCCACTTTGTCAAACTTCATAGGACACTGAACTTAGTTCCTGTAATCCATCCGAAGTATCTTTAATAGTACTTCAGATTACTGACTGTAACTATAAGCTGTCTTCAGGGTTACAGTGTAGTGTGGCGTCGATTCGCCATTGACTATGATCACCACTACAGGAAGACTACGTGTCAGTTAACCGATAAGATCCCCCGCAAGCCAAATATCAGAAGGCAGTTGGTGGCTGTAGTCGAAATGTATTCGTTGACAATCTCGTGGTACCGAAAGAATCCCGAGATTGTGCCAGGTTACAAGTGTGGTTACTGAGAATAACCGAATTCGTGCAAGGTCACAATCAATGGAAGGATGTATGTATTTTGGTACAGTTAAACAAACAAATACGGTAAAACAATCCCTGGTACAATTGGTTATAATAATTATTGTTTCTATTAACCCAATTGCGTTCTCTGGATAAAAGTCGGTCACCACAACAGCTATTAAAAAAAGTACTGCCTTGTATACATTATAACAATTACAAACATTTT